GGCCGGGCGAGCGGCGCGGGGGCTCCCTCGGGGCCCGCAGGCACATGGGGAGCCGCGGGCCCCCCCGCCGCCCCCCGCCGGTGTCGCCGGGCCGAGCGGGCAGGGTCGCGGCCGGAGCGCCCCGGCAACGCTGGGCGCGGAGCGGCGGCGGCGGCGGCTCTGCCTGGGATCGCGCTGCGCCGAGCATTACTCAGCGCCCGAAGCCCGAGTCCCGACACGTCCAGACAGGAGCCCGCGGGGGAAGGACGGGGCAGAGAGGGTGGCAGCGGGGCGGGGAGGCGGCGTGTCGCACGCAGCCTGGCGGGGAGGGAGCGGGAGGCGCGGGGGGAGCGGGCACGGAGCGGGGAAGAGCGTGCGGGGAGCCGGGATGAGGCGTGCGGGATGGGGAAGGGTGCGTGGGGAGCGAGCGGGGCGTCAGGGGTGCGGGGGTCGTGTGTGCAGACGTTGGTGAACGGGGCGCAAGGTGAGTGTGCGAGGAGACCGGGGAGTGCGCACAGGGCAGGAGCCCGTGGGCATGGGTGAGTGCACGAGGAGTTGGGTGAGTGTGCAAAGGGTGTGCATAGAGCATGGCAGTGTGCGTGACTTGGGGTGGACGTATGCAGAGTGTGGGGTGAGAGTGCACGGTGTGAGTGTGCACAAAGTGCAGGTGAGTGCACGGGGTGTGGGTGGGTGTGCATGAGGCACGGGCAGTGAATTCGTGAGTACAGAGGAGTGTTTGTAACACAGAGTAAGGACGCATAGGGTGTGGGGGGAGTGTACACAGCACGAGTGAGTGTGTGATAAGGGGAAGTGTGTATCCTGCATGGGTTGTGCATGGTGCAGTGAGTGTGCATGGTGAGTGTGCGAGGAGCGTGGAGAAGGTGAAGTGGGGGTGAATGTGTGTGGAGCTGGTGGCGTGAGCATGTGCTTGGTGTGAATGCTGTTCGTGCGGAGTGTTGGTGAGTGCAGAGTGAGTTGGGTGTGTGTTGCACGGGGGAGCGTGCGTGGCAGAGGGTAAACAAATGGGGCATGGAGTGAGCACGCACAGAGAGAGCCACGTGTAGTAGGCTGTCAGTGGGCATCGTCTGCTTTAGCGCGTCTCATCCTGGCAGTGGAGACAGTGCTGCCCCCTGAGCTCAGTTCCCTGCCATGAAGCCCTTTGGGAGCTAGCAGGTGCAGGTGGCCGGGAGGGGCAGGCAGTGCCCCGCAGCTCCCGCTGTCCCCAGCCACCGCAGCCCACGCCACGCCGGCAGCCGGCTGCGTGCTCCCCCCAGGCGGACACCGCGTGTCTCTGTGCCGGCACAGCTGCGCTGGCGGGGGCTGCCAGCTTCGCCGGCGTGTCGGTTCCTGTTTGCATCGGGGAGGAAAACGCATTTCCTTTGGGCAATGAGTTGTGAGCTGGTGCTGGGCCCCAAGGCTGTGCCGTTTCCCGTGGAGACTGTGGGAACCAGGGGTGGCATCACCACCGAGGTCCGTACTGCAGGGGCAGAGCCCGTGGAAAGTGTCTCCCGCAGTTCCAGGGTCCCCAGTGCATGGGCTGCGGTGGCGCAGATGTTTGTGCGCTCGCTAGGATCCTGCATACAAATCAGTGCCAAGGCAAACCAGAGGGGGGAACGCTTTCATCCTCCTCCAGCCCCTAACGACATAACCGCTTCCAAGAGCGTGCATCTCACCCACATGCTCCCACTGACTGCGGGAGGAGCCCCACATCCCACCAATTCGGTGCTGGCAGCAGAGGTGGATGGGGGGAAGGTTGATCCTCCTGTCCCAACAACGTTCCTGTGCTGAGGGAGAGCCGGGTGAGCCAGCAAAGCCCTTAAACACAGGATTAAACATTTGTCATTGGCTTGGGAACCATGGATAAGAGCCCATGGTACAGGATCGGGCCCCTCCAAGCAGGGCTGTATGCAGAGGGCACAGGGCTGGCAAGAAAAGTGCTGGCACAGGGCACTGTGGGCTGCACTGCCTGGGGTAAAACACTTCAGCACTTTTTGTGGTACATGAGCAGGTGCTCTATGCAGGGGATTGGAAACAGCTATCCACCCCTCACCACACACACACCTCCCTCCCTCTCTGTCCTTCCCACCCCCCTGCCCAACCAAGGTGCCCCCCCCCAGAGGCCCCCCACTTCTTTCGCATTGTGCTTTGGAAAGGACCATGAAAATCTCATCCAACCCCAATGCCATGGAAGCATCTCTCAATATATCAGCGTGCCCAGAGCCACATCCAACCTGGCCTTGAGCACTGCAGGGATGGTACATCCACAGCTCTTCTGGGCAACCTCAGACTCTTTAGCCCCTTCTGCTTTGGGACAATCTATCCCTAAACCGTACAGCTCAGAGAACCAGAACCATTCCAGGTTTTGGCACTGGACTCTGTGGAACCCATGGGGATTTGGGATGTCCATAGACAATCTCATAGAGGTCAGTGCAGGAGGGAGCACCAGGGAATCCCTGAGTGTGGTGGAGCTGGATGGATGGTGGTGGAGAAGCATCAGGACAGGTGCACCAGCATCAGCCTGATGCCAGCAGCATGGGGACCTGGAGCAGGAGGAGGGGGAGGAAGGAACCCATGCAGCTCACTCCTCACCGTCTTCCTACTTCCCCTGCCTAGGGGACTGGAGTGACGACTGCATGAGTCAATGTTTGGGGTGGGAACGGGATGACCATGCCCCTGGCAGTGGCATTACTCACCACAGAGCCTCCAGCATCACTGCCCTCCCCCTGGCTCATGGCCGGCGACCTGCCTGGGGCTGCTTGCCATGACTCAGGTGCGAGCCACCCGGCCACACAGCCAACCCAGCCTGTCCGCCCAGCTGCTAGGGGCTGGGACAGCCTGCGAGTCAGGATGCTGGTAAGGCTGGGAAGAGGACCCATGTGGCAGTGAGCCCAGAGCCCTGCTTCTGGCAGGGACAGCACATCCCAAAGGGCCGTTCTGGTGGCTGGGGTGGTGATGGGGGCATAGGGCTGGGGATGTGCTGGGCAGCTCAAAATGGATGGGGTCTCATGGCTGTACAGGCGACACCTGTCCCTGGAGCTGGAGAGAGCAGGGACAGAGCAGGGTGGTGGCAGCAGGTGCCTGGAGGGGCTGGGAGGACGTGGGGACCCTCAGGAGAGCACTGCCAGGGCGGTGGGAGCTCTGGCTGGGACTTCTCAGAGGTTGTGGATGTTTTTGGGTGCTGCCATCTGAGCTTTCCCTCAGCCAAGCCACTATCCGGGCTTGGAACCTCCCCCTGTCTGTATTACTACAAACTTTCCTAAAAAGCTTTTTTTTTCTTTTTTTTTTTTTTTTTTTTTTTTTTTGCCAAAACATTCTATTTTTCGGTCTCTGTCCAGACGGGATTTTTTTTTTTCCCCCAAGTTTGATTGAATTAATCTGTCTGGCTGTTTTCAGCTCAAGCAATTGAAGGGAAAATTGTGCTCATCCCATTCGAAAAGCAAATAAATAAAAATGAAGCCATTAACATTGCAGCACTTGGGCACTGTTATTATTTTTAACCAAAATACTATCTACTTCCCTTTTTCCCTTCAGAAGCTTTGCAGTTGCACTGCCCAGCACCAAGATCTGCGATCATTCCCCCCCGCACCCCACCATGTCCCTCCATACACAACCATCCCGTGCCCACCCCCATACATCCCCACGCACCCCAGCCCCCCCCGGCCGGGCCGTGGCTCCCCCTAGCGGCCGTCCGGCGCCCCGCAAAGCGCCCCGTCCCACATAGCACATCCCGCGTTGCCACGGCTACGGTAGGGATGCTGCGGGGCTTTAGGGGTTACAGGGGGGTCTCTAAGGGTCTGGAGAGGAGAGGATCTAGGGAGCCCCGGGGCACTGCTGGGCATTTGGGAGCTGCTAGGGAAATGAGGTTTCCCAGGACGCTGGGATCTTGGTTTTCTAGGTTCCTCTCCCTCTACATTTCTGGCTTTTGGAGTTTTCAACCTCTGGGGCAATGGCAGGGAGGACACAGGTCAGACCCCATACAACAGCATCCTGCCTTCCCCAGGCTTTAGGTGGCATCCAGTCTTCCAGTGCCATGCACATTCAGCCCATTGTAGGAAAACTGAGGCAGCCCCTGGGGAAAGCAGATTGTGGAAGACTGGGATGGAGCCAAGGAACAGTGTTCCCAGCCACAGCACAGCCTCTGCACTCTGACATCTCCCAGCAAGTCAGCATTCAGAGCAACTGGGACGCTGCAGAGGGAGAGCAGCGGTGACACAGAGCTAAGATACATGCAAGCAAACACATGGGGTCACCGACAAACGCATGCCAACAATTTGCCGTGCACTGACGGACATGCATGGAGCCACGTGGGCAAACCTTTTGCACACACACAAGATTCTCACACACACAGTGAAGAGTGCGCGCATGGAATCGTATGCCCACGTGCAGGCATGACCATGAGTGGGCGTGCAACCTGAGCGTGCACACTGCAGCTGCCTGTTCACACACGCACCTTGGCACACACACCCATGTGCTCCAGGGCCGTGCGTGCGGCCGGGAGTTCCCGGGAGCCCCGTGTGCCGCCCCTCTCCTGGAGCCAGGAGGGAATTTCCAACTCTAAAGCTGCAGTTGACATGTAGATGCTT